CGCCAAAAGTACCGCCAGTACCCGCCGGGAGGTGCCTGGTGCGGTACTTGGTACCTATTTTTTGAAAAAATTCAACAGGTACCCGAGTACAAACAAACGATCTCTAATCCAACGGAAACCACTCAACATCTCAAATCACATCATGTAGGCTGTACCACCAGCCAAAACCCCTCATGTATTCTTCCATCTTGGCCAAATTAACTCATGTAAGGCTGTACAACCAGCCAAAATCCCTCATTCCTGGCTCCCCTGGAGCCAAAATACCTCATTGTTGTCTATATAAGGAGGCCCTTCCTCCCAGTTGTAATTTCTCCCCAGCAGACTTCCTGCAGACATTTCCCCACATAACAGGCAAATCACTGCTCAATCCATAATATTATTTGTTCCCCAATATTTTGGTTTTACAATTATAACAACCCTTACATACAATATTACAACATCTTTTACACATAACAAACAACCCATTTTGCACCTGTCCACCTGTTAAACAACAGTGTATCTTTTGATACACTCCACTATCACTAATTAAAAGCTGCCAATTTAAGATTGGTGGTCTTGTTTAGTGTAGTACACAGGAAAGGCAGAGGTTACCTCACACATCCCTTTCTGAACTCAGCAAAAGGTTCTCACAAACACTTTTGAGCTTAACACCGGCCGGTATCAAATCTTCTGGTTCGCCGCTCATCTTTGACGACTAATCTCGGAAAGGGTTCTGTCTATTGAGAACGGTCAACAGGAGATGCCAATCTCTTCAAGTTGACCGATTTAGGTCACTTTCTTTTTCAGCCGTTATAACAGTCAATCTGTGATGTTACGAATGTTATAATGCTAATTGGCTTATTATTACAAATTGAATTGTCTTGAAAAAAAAACAAGATGCAGGGCACTCTAACTTGGAATCGGTAACTCAAGTTGACAAGAGATGATATTCGAAAACAATTAGAAAAATAGTGAGACAAGGTAAAAAGAAACAAAAAGCATTGAAGGAACAGCAAGAAGCAGGCCTTCATGGCCTGGGAAGGAAATGCTGGGGATATTAATGAGGCGAAGGCTACAAAAGGATGAAGAAAAAATTGAGGTTTTTAGGCCAAATTCAGAATCTCAGCGCGCGGGGATTTTGACATGAGGCATACGCCTCCACTGACGTGGACAGCTCCTCTGCTTGCTACCGCTCCCGCCGTGGAGGCCTAGTTAAGCTTGTTGGGAAGCCAACTCCCAATCCCCCAGGGGGGATTGGAAAGATGACTCCCGTCCGACAACCCCTCGGCCAAAATGGGAGTCGTCGGGGAATTTTAGGGAGTCGTTTTTCTGACCCCCATTTTGAAAACGCTAGAAAGATAAGGGAAAACCCTTTGTTTCATGTGATGGTAGGCAAGATTTATGCAACTCTAATGGTCCATCATGAGACCAAAATTTTTGAGTGGAAGATGTCAAGAGGGAGGGGGCAATTACATATAGGGATGATCAAACCCGCCCACAGGCTAGCCCGGCTCTATCCGTGACTTAATTGGGCAGGCCAGGCCGGGTAAAAACATGAGATTTTAATGTACAACCCAAGTCTGAGTGCTGGAAGAAAGAAAGAGTGGAAAATGGGAAGAATGATTATGAATGAAAATTCTAAAAAAATGGTTACCAGTTGGTTTCAAACAGCTGTTGAGTGGGGCATTCACCAGCTCACATTGTAGTAAAGCACTAGAATTTACTGTTTTGGATCCAATCTGGACAGCCAACCTGGCTCACCCTTTTTTGGTTCCAATTTTTTTCATTTATAATCATTCTTGCCACGTTCCACTCTTTCTTTCTCTTAGCACTCCCACTCCCCCAAAATCAATAACATGCAAGCTTTTGGAAAAAAGACATTTTTACTTTTTATCTTTCACAAATGTTGAAACTTTGTATTTTGTTTTAATTTCTTCATATTCATTTTCTGGGAACTATTCTGCACCACTTCACCAAGTCTTGTGACTTGAAGTTTGTGCTTTGAAGCTGTAGAATCCAGAACAAGCACCAAAAATAATGGTCCACCCACTGTACAACTCCTGAATAGGTAAATGTTGAATTATCCCCACAAAATCTTAGTTCAGACTCCAGAGTGCCAGGCATTTGGCCAGTTTCACAAAGACCAGCAATGATAATTCTGATATAAAGATATTTCCCAGATTTCTTTACTCTTAATCCTCAGTGGTTTTCTTCAGCAGGAAAAATGCAGTCTGAACTGCCAATTAATGTGCTTGCAGAACCTTGGAAACCCCCCACAAATTGTGATGAGGGCAACAACAGTGTAGGATTAAATTTCCCAAAGCCATCCATACCCATTTTATGCTTATCCTCGGACCCTCTTGGGGGAGGGAAGGTCAGAATATTAAAAAAAACCTGTAATATTTGATTCTTTTGTCTAGGAGGCCTCCAGGCTCTAACCAGTGGATTTTTTCTCCTCTCTGGGATGAATTTCCAGTTTTCCCTTCCAGGAGCATCCAAATCACTAACCTCTTTCTCCAAAAAAAAGGTGTGAGAAAGTATTAAGATGAACAAAAAAAGAAATCCTCTAGATGAGTATCAGGCTGGCAATGGGCTGGGCTTGGGCCCAAAAACCATGCCCAAACCTGCCCCACCTGGGAATGTGGGACGGGGGGGGGGGCGGAATTCAAAGAAGTCTGCCCAAACCTGCCCCAGCTTGGAGACAGGTGGGCTTGGGGTGGGTCTTGGGTCTGCCCATCAAAAAATTGTTCATGGTTTTTTTTGGCCTGGATAACAATCTTGGACAATTGGTCACTCAAGGCAGTGAGATGCGAGGTCAAGTTGGTATTGCATGGAGGCCTAACAATGGATAAAGAAAATTGGATAATCTAGGTACCAATTCTGGGCCTTCAGACCTAATAATATGTACTGTGGGTACATATTATTAGGTTAATTCTGCTGATATTCAGGGAAACTAGGGTTTTTTTGTGGGCCAATGGGCCGGCCCACCTCCAGAAAAGTCTGTCCAAACCCAGCCCATGAATTTGGTGGGTCTCCATGGGGCGGGTCACGCTTGTGGAATTCTCCTCCCTTTCCTGGACCCATTGGGGTGTCGGTAGCCCATGGGCGCCCAAGCCCATTGACAGCCTGAGATGAGTCCCCTTGAAAAAAAAAAACTAAATTCATACAGTTTTGGTACCTACCCTCTTGATTATTTGCCCAAAAATTCATACCTACTGGTTATCCCCATTTATAAGAGCATCTCCACCGCAGGCCCTATTGGCGAGGCCCTATATTCCTCCAATAGGGACCCAAAAAAATGAATAGCAACCAAGCCGTGTTTTTTTTCCACTGCTAGTGGGTGCATCCGCCTTAAAGGTTGGTGAAAGCCGATCGGTCAGAGTTGTGGTGTGCTTGAGGATGTGTAAAACCTTACGATGTCGGAAGTTTCACGCGGGATGGTATAAGATGCAGAAAGCAAATGGGTACTGTTTGTCACAGTCCTGGCGTGGTAAGCTATCGGCACGCACAAGTTCCGGTCTCCAATCTCGGTATAGATTGCATAGAGAGAATGAAATGATAAACTAACCTGTTCGTCACAGTCCCGGCGCGGTAAGCTATCGGCACGCACAAGTTCCGGTCTCCAATCTCAGTGAGGAAAAGAGAGAGGAGCCCGGAACCGGGACTGATCAGACTATATACTATGTACATGCTTATCTAGGTTAGGGTTGTGACTATCACTAGATTAGGTTAAGCTTATGTAAGTACATAGTTATGGACTAAAACAAGGTTGTAATCTTGAATCTTCTATGAACTTCCAGCACTACTCTAACAGATGGGACCGATCAGCCGGGCCCTATCAAGTCTGTATATATACAGCTTGATAGGGACTTTCAACCCTGGTCCCTATTATAGGGGCCGCGGTGGCTGTGGTTTTGGGACTCGCGGGCCCTATATGTGGGATAGGGCCCCTACATAGGGCCCGCAGTGGAGATGCTCTAAGGGGTTACCAGGGTCCTGAATTTGTGAGATTGAATCAATCTGGGAAACATAAAGATTCACAGAGTTGAATCTTACAACCAGGCCAATTCTTGAAGAGGAATTCATCAACATTGGACGTTGAGCCTTGTATGATCATAAACAACAAGACAAGAAGTCCATGTGGGAGATAACTAGTCCAGTGTACCCAAGCATTCTACTGACTAATATGATGATAGTTCCTAACAACTACAGCAGTCAAATAACAGGTAATCATTAGGTTGAAAGTGGACAGCCAAAGGAAACTCGAGACCCAACACGACCAGGAGTGTTCAAATCGACAGCTAACTTAAACAAGCGAGTTGATACGGGTCTACAGCGATCTCCATACGGTGGATAGCATAAAAAAGTTTCTTACAAGCCAAGCGGAAGTGTTCTCTTAGTGCCAAAAACCAGATCTTGCAGAGATTCACAGATTTAGGAAGATCATACTGAGTCTCACTCAAAGGAACCAGATGGATGGATAGTAAGGCTATAGAGGAACCGAATCAACGGCAGAGGTTGTCGTGCAAGATGTTAAGATGCTTCACTCTTGCCATCTAAAATGGATTGTCGTCTATTTCACATATGACCTTCAGAAGTTCTTGGAAGCCATGATCGAGAAACCGGATTTCGTGATCTATTGGGGTGATCTCGTCGGAACACAGTTGAGTACCAATCGTGAATGGTGCTTTACTTATTGGTGTGTTAGATAGTTTGTTAAACAATATTCTGAGTATTTTGATGAGCAGTCTAGCTGCCTTGACCAGCCTAATCAGATCCACACTTAGAGGGGTGTCGCAGTAGTACAAGTCAGTCAATTGGCTAGTGCTGGACCGATTATCTTGATGATCGCTGGATTCGATATTAGACCAAATGTCTTCATGTTCATTTGCCGGTTCAGCTTGGGGTTGATTGGTTAGTTCATGCTCATCAATTGATTCATGCAGCTTTGCTAGTTGGGTTTTCAAGACGATTCGTGTGATCAGGTCTTCCAGAAGCAGATTGAGTTTGATTGCAAACCTTCAACAGTCGTCCTGAATGATACTGGAATCGGATTTCTTGAACCACTTGATTATATGATCAATTGCCTTCGAGGTTTTGGCTGTTGCGTGGACGAGATTTCTTGAGTGGAACATCAATTTGCCTTCATCGAAATGACTGATCTGATGATTCTTTGGGAGGGCTCGAATGAATAGGGTATAATGGTTGAGCAAGGTCTGGACCAGTGGATGAATCAAGTCATTCAGGTTGCTTATCAATCTAGTGGACCTATAGACTTTCAAGCCACCATAATCACGGTCGTTCTTCTTGTAGCTGTGCAGCGGATCCATGACAATCGGGGCAATGGACTGGACAAAATGAGTCATTCGATCCACAGTATGGATGAGTCGGAATACGATTTCGAGAGCATCAGCGAGTTTCTTTTTTGGAAATTTTGCAGGTAGACCTTTGAGGTCCAGCAATTCCAATAGGTTGCCCAATTGCTGTTGTAATGAAGTTAGAACGAGGTTTTGCATTTGAAGGAGGAGAGCATTCAGATTGTCGATTTTGCCAATTGACCAAGCTTCCCCCCTGGCATATCTCTGGTTATCATCAACCCATACTATCTGCTTATGAGCATCCTTGGGCGTCCAAGTCCCATCAACCCAGACGTCCATCCTGTGGTACCTTTCAGTTGAAAGAATTTGGAAGCTAAAGGCATTATTTCTTTATAAGTCATCTTTTCTTAAAGTGTAAAATACAACAATTTAACATAAATAGGAAAAGACTTTTTACCTAAAGGCAGAATATAATCTGAACTAGGTAAAGTAAAGAAATGATAATGATAATATAGTGCTAAGACTTCTTCGGATAAGTATAAATTGATGATCTATATTGTAAAGAAAAGAGTATTGAATTAGTTCTAAAGACTCATTTCTCTTCTTGAATAATAGTTCTTTTGAATGAAGAAGAATGACTATACTCGTTGGATAAGATCGAGTTTAATTCTTTTGACGATTATTGTTTATTTGATTGACGATGCTATCATTAATAATAATCAATCAATCGTCATTTGTTAGTTATTATTCTCTTTCTTTTATGTTAAAAAGAAAGGCTATGACACTCACCGATAGACGGTGAGGAAATTCTGTCGATAAGCGTAATCAACGAGTTGCGTTTGTTCGAGCTAGTGATAATTTTTGTTCAAGTAGATAGAGTGATCGTTAGCGATCATTCTCTCTACTTGATCATCATCATCGAGACTCACCTAGAGCTCGATGATTGACGATCATCACTGTCTAGACTCATGACGTCATTGACGTCATCTTCTTTATCATAAGCTTGTCGCTTAGCTGTACTGTCGCATACTTTATGCTCTATACATGATCGAATAAACATGATCAGTATTTAGTTTTTAGTTTTCTAGGTAGCTTACATTCTAAGTGTAAAGCTTACCCGATGCTCTCCTCTTGCGAGGGCTAGAATTAGGAATGAAATTCCAACAGTCATCCGTGCTTCGAGTCGTTAGATGCGAAGCAGAATCTGAAGTTCCATACATTCCCAAGACTCTTAAGGAGCGTCGAATAGTGCATCGACCAACAGGCTTAGTGAGAAAATCAGCCGGGTTTTCATTGGACTTGATGTAGAGGAGCTTCAACAATTTTGATTGAACATGTTCTCGGACGAAATGAAGTCGTATGTCCATGTGTTTCGTACGAAAACCATTTTGAGATGTCTCACTGTTCGCTAGGTCAATTGCGGCTTTATTATCGACATAAATTGGAATATGACGTGGCGATTTGAAAATCTTGATTTTGTTGATCAAGCTAGTAATCCAAACAACTTCTCGACTGAGATCGGACAGTGCCTTATATTCTGCTTCAGCTGAAGATAATGAAATGGTGTCCTGCTTGTTCGATTTCCACGAGAGGAGATGATTACCAGCCATGACTACATAACCCGATACTGATCGACGTGTGATCAGACAATTTCCCCAATCTGCATCAACGTAAGCCTTTAAATCAGATTCTTCTTGTTTCTTGTACGTAAGACCAACATCTCGCGTTCCCGCAATATAACGAAATACTTGTTCCGCAGCGTTATAGTGCGTCAAGCCAGGTTCTTCTAGAAATTGCGACAAAGCACTAACTGCATAGGATATATCAGGTCGCGTTAGTATGCTAAGATAATTCAAAGAGCCAACAATCGAACGATAGTTGAGACCAAGACGTTTAAGAGCTTCTTGATCTTCCTTCGTTGCCGTCTTCAATTGAATTCTCGGATTTAACGGACAGGATGCTGGATGAGCGTTCTGCAGATCGAATTGAGTTAACTTTCTCTCAATGTACTGCTGCTGATTAATCTTGACAGTTCCCTTTGATCGAGTGATATTCATCCCTAAAAGAAATTCAGCATCCCCCAAATATTTGACCGCAAATTCCTTCTCAATTTCCTCTTTAAAGATCAAAGGATCATGACTTATGATGACCAAGTCATCAACATGAGCATAGATCCATGTCATAGGTTTACCGGGTTGAATTCCTCGCCAAAAGACACATGGATCCGATACACAAATATTGAATCCGATTGATTTCAGAAAATTCGATAATCGTTTGTACCAAACAAGCGGCGCTTGACGTAAACCGTAGACCGCCTTCTTTAATTCAAAAACCATATCATCTGATCCTTCGTATCCTGGTGGCGGTGTAACCGTTACTTTGTCTTCTAGAGGACACGTTAGAAATGCACTTCTTACATCAAGCTGGTGAATCTTCATGTCATTATTAACAGCGAAAGAAATGAGTAGTCGAAGCGAGCAAGGTTTTCCCGTCGGTGCATATTTCGCAAAGAAATCGAGACCGAAGGTTTGTCAAAAACCTTGAACACAAATTCTCGCTTTGAATTCTGTGACTTCATTGCTTGCTCCAAGCTTCTTACGGAAAGCCCACGTCAACGGTATTGGTGAGTCATCGTTACGTCTTTTTCGTACTAGCCAAGCTTTATGATGTTCCATATTTTCGTACTCCTTCCGCTCAGCCTTCTTCCACTCATCAAATTCCTCTCCTTTCATCGCCTGGTTATGAGTTTTCGGTGCAGTTGAAGTTAACGCAGTTCGTCTAGAATAAGTCAATATATTTGATTCATCGATATCACTATTAATGATCTTGTTGGCATCGATGCCGTTTTGCGATTGAATTTGCTTTTCATTTGCGATTTCTTCTTGAAGCAATTCATTCGAACAATCTTCTTGAGAGAATTCTTCAACGGGTAAATGACTTTCTTCAAACGGTAATGATTGAGAATCTTGAAAAACTGGTAGATTATTCGACTGCTTTAAGTTATTCAAGCTTTTATTCAATGCTGGACAGTGGGGAAAAACATCTTCTTCAAAGTAGACATGTTTGACATTTATTATTTGAAGATTGTCGAGTCAAACCACCTTGTAAGTAGAATAATCATTCGAGTATCCAATTAAGACACCCTCCCATGATAAAGAATCGAATTTTCTCTCGTGATGAACTTCAGGTTTCAACGACCAAACCTTACAACCAAAAGGACGAAAAATCTTGATGTTTGGTTGTTTCTTGAAAAGAAGTTCAATCGGCAAAGTACGACTTTTCGAGATCGATGGTAGACAGTTAGTAATTGCACAAGCAGTTTTAACTGCCTCTGCCCACCATTCCGGCGCTAGATTTGATTGCATAAGTATGCATCGAGTCATATCGAGAATCGTACGATTTGCACGCTCTGCAAATCCATTCTGTTGAGGAGTATACGGAGGCGAAACATTGTGTTGAACTCCACTTGCTTCAAGTAAAGCAGACAGTTTCTTATTGCAAAATTCACCTCCACCGTCCGTAATTAATTTCTTCAATCGATTTCCTGTTTGATTCTCGTAGAACACTTTGAATTTTTCAATCGCATCGGGCGCTTCACTCTTGTCCTTCAGGATTGTAATATTTATGAATCCAGTGAATTGATCAACAAGAGTTAAAAAGTATCGTGCTCCACTGTTTGATGATGGAGTAATGGGTCCGACTAGGTCTCCATGGACGACTTCCAAAGCAGCTGAGGTCGAATCAAAGTGATGTTTAAAGCTTCGTCGAGTTAACTTTCCTTTCATACAGGAATCACAGCATTTATCCTTTACTAGTTTTTCGTCAATCGGTACCACAACCTTCAATCTATCCGTGCTTGCATGACCGAGACGATTGTGCCATTTTGTAAAGCCGGAAGTTTCAGTTGAGATCGTGAGCATTGAAATGGTTTGATGATGAGGAGGAAAAACATCGCCTTCGATTTCGAACAATTGATTAGACAAATTGACACTAAAAAGTTTTTCTTGATTGTTTGAAATGACTTCATAAATTCCACCAGCTCGCTGAATCAAAATCTTTTCGTCAATCAGTTGAGCGAGTGAGATAAGATTTCTAGTTATATTGGGAACAAATAAAGAATTCTTCAAGGTGATTACTTTATTGTCGGCCATCTGAATCATTGCTGTTCCTCGTCTAACAGCAATAAGTTCCTCTCTTGATTTTCCATCGCCGGTGACAATGAATATGTGAACTGGTTCACTATCGACAAAGAATTCAAGAGAGTTGAACATATGATTACTCGCTCCTGAATCAAGTATGGCTACTAGTTTTTCTTGAGGCAAGGATGATCGAACAGTACTACAGTATCCAAAAGAAGGAACTGCGTTGTCGTTGTTCGCATTACTACCAGAAGCTTGTTGATTGGACTCATTTGAAGTAGCGGTCTGAGTGATGGTAGCTTTTGATGGTGGCCAAACTCGAAAACGTTTAGGTCTTTTAGACGGATTATCGTACCAGCAATTTCTTTGACTGTGTGTAGTATTCGGATCGTGTCCATTCTGACATGGATGCTCGTAATCCTGAGGAGGAGGTGGAGGAGGCGGTCGTTTTCCTTTTGATTTGAAATTAGTCGACAAGGCTGAAGTTGAACTACTAGATTGAATAGTTCTTTCATCACGCTTCGTCAGAGTTTGCTCATGGACAGCAAGAGTACGCAGTTTTTCTAAGAGTCGAAACGGATCGGAAACGAGATCTTCATCGAGCATTAAATTCTCCATCAGATCTTGTTTTACTGTAGTGACTCGACTAATAATGCAGACAGCAAAAAGATCCTGAGTAACGTCATAACCGATCGTCTTGAATTCTCCTAGACAGTCGAGACATCGATCGACATAAGAAACAATTCCTCGATCACAATGAATTGTGTCCCACAATCGCCAGACTTTACAGAGTGAGAAGATCGACTTTGATGCATATTTCTTCTTGAGAGCTGACCAGACTGAAAACGGCGTTAAATTTGACGATAGTTTAAAGATGGAATTGTAAATGGAATCGTCGACAACAGAGCTAAGATGAAACATAGCACAAGAATGCTTTGCTGCTATTTCATCGCTGATTGGTAAAGCTTGTTCGTGAAGACAAACTTCAAGAAGCTGACGAGAGTCGAGAAAGTATCGCATTTTGGACTCCCAAATCGAGTAATTTTCTCTGTTGATGTCTAAGCTCTAAAGCTTGAGACCTAGACTGCTCTTTGTCCCTCAAAACTATGATGTCATGTCGCTCAGATCTCTGCGATGACATCATGACGCTCAAGCTCTCACGCGGTTCTCATTCCGCTCAAACCTTTTTCTTTTTCCTTA